TAGTAAACACCCACATATGGGAAAAAAATCCAATAAGAGGCTAAAAGAAGTATGCCTCTAGAGGAAAGTAAAATCAATAAATTAACTAATACATATTAAGTTCCTGTGATGTTGTCCAGGCTCCAAGCACCCTGCTAGGTGTTTTGAAGCACAAGAAGGAAGTATGATACATGGTCCTTACATTCTAAAAAACTTTCAGTGTAGCTGGAAAAATAAGATAATATGTGACAAAGAAGTAAGAGCTAAACAGACTCTAAATACAACAGAAAGAATAGAGGCAGAAAGTTATTTGTTAAGCCCCACCACGTGTCAGGCACCATGATAGGTAACTATGCTGAGTCTGCCAGGAGCCACCCAACAGTCATTATCCTCTTCTTCCTTAGTAACAGAACACTGATTTTATTTTGTGCAGCAGATTAAACTTCCCAGCCTCCTGTTAGCAAGCTGTGGTCACATGACTAAGTTCTGGCCAATGAGACTGTACGTAGAAGGGTTGTGAGGGACTTCCAGGAAGATTAAAGAAAGCTAAGTGAGCAAGAAAGCAGATCCTTTTTTCCTTATTCTCTTCCTCCTTCTGCTATCTGAAGTGCAGCTATGATACCTGGAGCTCCAGCAGCTATTTTGGACAATGTGGCAATCTCGACCTTGATATAAAAATCATAAGCTAGAATGGTAGAAAAGAAAAAGAAAGCTTGTGTCCCAGATGAATTTGAAGCTACCTACCATATCAGTCCTGGACCACCTACCTCTGGACTTCTTTTATGTAAGAGAAAAATAAACTTCAACTTTGCTTAAGATACTATTATTTTGGGTTTTTGCTTTCATGCAACAAACCCTAATGCTGAGTGCTACTATGCTTTACCAAACATCAACTCATTCTACTCTCATGAAAACATGTGTTTGCATGAGTGTGTGAAAGTGCACACACACAATTATTTTATTTTTATTTTTATTTTATTTTTTGACAGCTAGCCAGTTCAGGATCCAAACCCATGACCTTGGGGTTATGAGGTTGTATTCTACCCAACTGAGCTAACCAGCCAGCCCTAATTATTTAAATTTTATAGATANAGGTTGTATTCTACCCAACTGAGCTAACCAGCCAGCCCTAATTATTTAAATTTTATAGATAAAGAAATTGTAGTTTAAAAAGGCTAACCTGCTTAAGGTCAAAAAGTTAGTAAGCAGCCAAATCAAGTTTTATACCTACATCTATCTGTCTCCAAAGTAAATTCCATTACACCACACTCCTTCAAAATATAATTTAGAATAGATACAAAACACATAGTCAGGAATTGTAAAGAAAACTCTAAGAGAATGTAATTTAGAAGCTACATTTTGAAAGACAGGATTTGCAATGATGAGGTCAAAACAAGTTGGAGGTGGGGATTAGGAGATACAATCAGAGAAGAGAAAGATCAGTCTCCATGACAGGAATGTATAAAGTTTATCTGTTATTGGTGATAAGCAGGAAACAGGGCCTTAAAGAGAACATTCTATGAGAGACAATTTATATTAAATAAAGTGAAATAAAGATTGAATCAGAAGAATATTTTTTTTATGACTGTTTTGTTTTTGGCAGCTGGCCAGTACAGGGATCAAACCCTGGACCTTGGTGTTATCA